GATTTTGGCTATGGAGTAACCTATTTATATGTAGAATTCCAAGGGTCATGGGTATAACCCATAATCCATACCCATGGGTTTTATGATCCATGGTTCATGTGGCCCAACTCTTTATGTATCCATACATAAACTTGGTCCAACATGGATCATAAGCCCAACACATATAAATATAACTAATTATCATAATTAGTCCCCATAGATTTAATTAGTCTCTTTTGATCACTAAATTAATTCCAAATTATTCTTGATCGATACTAGTTAAAACATAAGATTTCATATTAATATATTATAACTTATAATATATTAATAAACCATAAATAACCTTCTCTCAAAAGTCCATCCTAACAAATTGTCCTGATGATATGCAACCCAAATGGACCATGCTACTCTTGGGTCAAGTACATACTAATAATAGTTATGGGCTTAGACATCTAATCCAACACCTTCCTGGACTCGACGAGTAGGTTACTTTAACACGTGTACCAACCCGCTGCTACTCGATGAGTCAGGGCACCCAACTCGTCGAGTAGACCTTGAAATCATGAAAATTTATAACCATAAATCAATACCTGAGAATCAGGGCGTTACAGAGAAAAGAATAAAATTCTAGAACCTCTATATGCCCTGGACGGTTTTGAGTAGTTCTAGATATATTCTTGAAGTCTCCAATAGCAGATACCAAAACATATTTGAATTGGCATAAAATACTATTATTTTATTGTTCAAATTAGGGTTTCTATCAACTATAAATAATTCCATAACCCTAGCCAAATTGATCTCTACATACTCTACAAAGAGAAATCAATTTTCTTCTCCATCATCTCTCCTATTTTTGATCCTAGGGTTTTCTAGTGTTTGAGTGTGAACCATTAACATCCATATTATTGGTGCTAGCTTTCCAAGGAAGATATCAAGAGGGTTATTTGCATTATTCGAATTTTGAAATAAGGTATGTATTCTAACTTGTAAATTTCGATTCCAACAGGATAGAAGTTTGTTTCATCAGTATGTTGCTATAACTTGAGCAAATGTCATATTCTTCTAGGTTTCATGTACCCATAAGTGTTTATGTAAATTTTGATTGTAACCTAGAAAACCCATCATCCTTGACTATAGGTCGCACACTCTCCTCAAAAAATGGCGCATGCTTGCTTCATGTCACATAAAGGATGCTAAATTCCTTCTTAGGTGCTCCACTCCATATTAAGTGCTATTTTTCCTTCTTAACACCCCGTTCTCGAGTTCAACTTAACGAGAGAAAAGAAAGGAAATTGGTGGAAATGAGAAGAAAATAAGAAAAATTGGTGTTTCCGAGTTTCATTAAAGGAAGGAAGTGGAAGGAAATGGAAGAATCACTTTCCCTCCTAACTTTCCTTCCGATTTAGGAGGATTTGGAAAGAAAAAACAAAACGATTAATTTTACTTTCACTTCTCTCCAACTCGGGAACACAAAAGAAAATTTTTGTTTTACTTTCCTTTCTTTTCTTTTCTCTTGTGACTTTCTTTTCTCTTCTTTTCTTTTGTTAAACTCGGGAACTAGGCGTAAGTGCTTCATCACTTTCTTAGATGACTCGTTCCTTTCTTAGATGATTCATTCCCTTCTTAAGTGCTCCATGCACATCCACGTGCTCCATTGAATTCCAAATACACTATTGAGTTCCAAGTGTTCTACGAAAATGTTCTAAATGCTCAAGTCACATTTAACACTTTAATAACTATAATTGTAATAATAACATCAATATAAAAAAACATGAGAATTGTTTTAATTGTAATAATTTTAATAGTTATAATATGAATTGTAATAATAACAAATAATATCAAAATCAGTTATAAACAAATATAAAAGTAATGACGATAATAAATATAATAAAAATAATATTAATTTTTATAATATTAAAAATAATATTTGTAATAATATACAAAATTTTAAGAAATCAAATTTTTATTTAATATTCATGGTTAATCAGTATGTATATAAACAAATATAACAGTAATAATGATAATAAATTTAAGAATAATAATATTAATTTTTATTTTTATAAAAATAATATTTGTAATAATACGCAAAATTAAAAAAAATCGAGCTTTTATTTAATATTCGTGGTTAATCCGTAGGTAATTACCTACGGACTAGCTACGAACGAAAAAAAAATCAAATCAAATAGCTTTATTTTCCCCAAAAATTGGCTAGGTTTTTGATTTCCCTCGTTGAACGTCGCCCTTATACCTCCGCATCCTCTTCCTTATGTCTCAAATCCCATTTTTCCGCCTAATCTAATTTCGCTAGTCTCCTTCACCAATTTCTCATTGTCATCATAGGTCTGCCATTGCAATCGCCATCGTCATCGTCATCGCCATCGCCATCACCATCACCATCACCATCGTCTTCTTTTTCCACTATCGCCATTGGCTAGGTTTTAGCTTTCTACATCGGGACTGACAACCAACGCCTTTTCCTAACGGAGTGCGAGTAAGAGCGATGAAGGAATTGATTACCTTGATCACATTCTTCACACCTCCATCAACCAGGTATCGAGTACCCACTTTTCCAAATTTCATATATAGGTTTACATCATCGGTCACTTATTAACTAAATAATTGTTGTGGATCTTGTTAGTAGTGGAACCACATTCTTGCCAAAGGGTCTTTCATACATATTCTTTCAAGTTAATCTCTTTGTTTTGTTACCAAAGACTAAAATTGAAGGTTCATTAGTGTTCTTTACACCTGCTTATGCTTTGTTCTTGGTTAAGACCGTAGCTCAAGGTTCAAAAGAAATCTGTTTATATGTATTTTTTTTTCAAAATTTTATGGCATGTAATCTGTTTAATTGATAGAAAAAGTTCACCATATATGATTACCAACTTTTCCTTTCTTTATAATTTTTCTTACACAAAATCTAATCCTGAAATATTGTTACTTATCGAAAAAAAATTGTTCTTCCCTTGTTCCCATTTCTCCATCCATAATTTATTGTGATTTTGTTAGGTTTGTTTTGAGAAAAATATTATCAATATCAAAATATTAAGAAGTTATTACTCTCTTAGTTTGTTTACATGTTTCTTTAGATCTTGTGATGATATGATCTGAGTATGGTTTTGCATTGCTTATGCTCATGATTCATTTATACATATTTGTGTTTTATTATTAATTATATAGGGAAATCTTTATTGCCAAGCAAAGACATCGAGTGGTAATTTTTCAGTCCAAGAGACCTTAAATACCCAAATAGATCAAGAATAAACTGAGCAACCAAAGAAGAAAGTATGTAAAAATATAGATTTTCTATATATTTGACAAAGGAGAAACCTTTATGGTGTAGTACTGTAATAGGAGAGCTTTGTGCATGTATCCGTATGTAAGTTTAGCTCATTGATTTGTACTCTATGTAGCTATTTGTGTATATTTTTATGTGGATGATCTTGGTTAAAATATATGAAATATGAGATTTTGGCATATTAGCTTTAAAGTCATACTTGGATTTGTTTTAAAGTAGGTATATGTATTTTTTTTCTATATTTTGAGCAGAAAAAAGACAGATTTTTTTTTATTTATAAATAAAATCATTTTAGTGATGGATTTGTGACAAAAAAAATTGTCATTAGAACATGTCGTAGGTAATATGTAGGAAGTAGATTTGTAGGAAATTCGTAGGTAATATATAGTAAAAATTCTGTAGGGAATTCGTAGGTAATAGCAGTTGTAGGCAATCGATAGGTAATAGTAGTATAGGTAAATTATCAACGAAAATTTCCATAGGCATTCTGTAGGAAATTTTGTAGGCAATCTGTCACAACCAATTACCCACGAGCTATATTCATACATAGCTGTTTTTGTAGGTGATCCATAGGTAACATATTTTACCTACAGATTACCTATGAAATGTGTTGTAGGCAAAGAGGTAGTTTTCTAGTAGTGTTTTGCACACCTAGAAAGGGAGCTGAGATTGATGGTGGTTTGTGTTCGCTGAAACAACTAAGGAAACGACGGTGAATATAGGCTTTCCACACCTTCTTCGGATCTAGTTTCTATTCGTTAGAAACACCCAAGGCATCGGTAGTGCTGGATCTAGGGTTTAGGGAAAACAAAGAGCGACAAAGGCGGTAGATCTAGGACAACAGCGATGCTAGATCTTATTTTTCCGGTTAACTTCAATAAATTTGATAATTTTAATGATTAACTTTATAATTTATTAGTATTTGGTTATAGACAATATAACACAAAATATATTTATATAAAATTTACCAAAAGGTTTGGAAATTATGTAAAAATATACTCCAATTGTTTATAATATTCTTGAAATATTATTATAATAATAAACATGTTAAAAAAAAAACAAATCTAAGTTCAATAATATAACCTAAAGTAAATGAGAAGTGGTTTGAAGAAGATGGACCAGTACGAACGCAACACACACGTAACAGTTTTTAAATTAAAAGCCTTCTGAAAAATAAATAGCTACGAAAGATCAAACTCACGTGTGCTGCACGACACAACAAAAAATGATTTTTCTGGAAAAAATAAACAACACCTAAGTGACAAATAAATAATTAAAGGGACATAAGCATTGGTTTTACAATCAAGGCGAATGAGAAAACACAGATAACTTATATTATTAATCAACAATCAAATGTTACATATCTTTACTATCTTATAAAAGAAATCCTATTATTTTTATAAATAGATTGAATATAATAATATTATTTTTTTAAGACGTCCAAAACCCTTAAGCTAATAATACAAGTAACTACTAATAAAATAATATTAAAATTTTAAACTCAACCCAATTATACAAATGATATAGCATAAGGTATAATTATAACTTGCACATGTTTTTGACCCGCTCCCTTTAACAACTTTGACTCGTATAAGCTATTCCCCGAACTTTCAGGAAAAATGGAAAAGTTGAATTGATTCCTTATTTTAAGGCATAATCTAAACGACCTCTCACTTCATAACCTTTAACCACTTCCTTATTTTAAGGCATAAGATCATCACTCTCTCCAAAAGGGAGCTTTTATTTTTATAGGTTTCTCGCTCTCTCTCGATCTTTATCTTTCCTTCTTTTCCATAGTCAAGCCATCCACTGAAAAAACACCCACAATCGCACCTTCAAAAGCCTAAACACCTTCTCCCAAATAAACCCTAACCATGAATAATCCAACCACAAATGTCATCTCCAACTATGCCTCTCACCCCCACCACCACAGAAACCCTAATGTACCCGTCACCACCGTTTGTCGCCATCCCTCACCCTCTCCTTCTGTGTTTATTACTAAATAATCATCACCACCACCACCACCACATGTGAGTTTCCCTGTCTCTATATAAAAATCATCACCGATACTGCTAGCTTGTTCAATTTCTCTAACTGTGTGTATTTGTGTCTGTGTTTAACTGTGTGTCTATGTTTTCGATTTAAGTTCAAGCATTTCACTGCTGACTTTCTTGAAGAAATCTTTTCTAAATCTGCATCTTAATAAGTTTATTTGTTTAGTTTTCTTTCAAAATCTCATGTATGTTTTCTTTTAGGTTTGAAAAATGGTTTTCAGATCTAGATGAAGATGAACCTAAAGGGAATGAAAAAGGATTTGAATAAGGGATATCAAATTGCATCAGGTAGCAGATCTCCGTTAGGAGATGACAATGAGATTATTTTGGGTAGGTGATTCACATGTTTCATGCCACATCTCTCTCTCTCTCTCTCTCTCTCTCTCTCTCTCTCTCGTATCTTAACGATATCTCACAAGCACCAAATTTTTAGTTTTTTTTTTGTGTATTGAATAGGCGCTGATCATCACGAAATTAAATTGTTACAACAACTTAAAAGGTATGGCTGTCGACTGCAGTTTAGGGCATCTTATTGGCATCTTCTACTTTAAAATTTAAATATATTGTTGGCTTGGATCCACTTTTTATCTCTATGTTGCCTCCTACGCACAATTAAAGTAAAAACCTATCCACCATTATTTATTTACGCCATGTTTTTTAGATATGATATTTATGCTTTTATTTGCATCTTCTAGATTTTAATCTTTTTTTTTATTCTCTAAAGATCTCATTTTAGCTGTCTTACAACCCTTAGTCTGAACTGAAACTAATTGAGTAATTTCATTATGATATTATACATGGTTTTTTTTCTATAGCTCATGCTATATTGTCTGTTGACGAATTTCTTTCCTAAAACTTCCACATTGAACTTCATTGGCTGATCTTTATTTCCAGCATCTGATATGTTTGTGGCTATGGGAAAGAGTTACAGAATGATGGAATGGATGGTATGACCCAATTTCTTGCAAAGTCTTTATAATTGTTTGATTTTTAATTCAACATTCTTTTATAATTTACTTTCTCCTTACATAGGTTAGGATTATCAACGAATAGCTTAGTTTCTTCTAAATTGTCATTGGTGCACATAAGAAAAGAGGCATTCATGCTACAGGTAAATGCTCTCTCCGTGTCTACATTTCTTCTATTTCATACCAAAAGTAATAACAAGTCGAAAACATTGAAATTAATTCGTTTCTTATGTTATTTCGTAGGATCTCTGGTGGTGATAACATTAAAAAGAGAAAGATTTGCGGGTATCCTAAAGAGTTTTTTTTTTTTTTTTTTTTTTTTTTTTACTTAAATTGCATTTTAATCCAATCTGTAGGATATTGCATCTGTTGCGAATATCACTTTGATGATCCACTTTATGCAGTTAGGGAAAATAACTAGATTGGACATGAAAGAAATGGGTTAAACTTCAAACATTATATTTTCTGTTTTTACTTATTTGTCCGATTTCCCCTTTTTGGTTTGCATTTTTTATACTTCTCAGATTTGGACAAAGTGTGATCAGGTTTACAATCACTTTCCTTGGCAACACTTGAAACACTTTTTGCCTTAATTCTTTCAGTATAAGTGTTGTCAAATGTTTGAATTTTAAACATACCAAACCAACATTACTAAAAGCTTGATTTTGTTAGGCAGGTAACCCATTTTGTATATTTTTCAAATTTCTATTCATTTTAAGTTAGCCCGTTGGTAGTGGTGAGTTAATGCATAGCTTGCATCTCAATTCTTTACGAGCCACCAATATTGACCAAAAAATTGACCATTACTTAGATTAAAGTTTGACTACGAACCATTATGAGTCATTGAGAAGGATCAGAACACTATTTCTTTTTACCATTAGCTTTGATTTTTTTTTGGTTTTGTTATGAAGGATGTGGAAAATATATGTTTAACGGAAATAATACCAACAATTCATAACACGTAAGATGATTATGCTATTAGATTTTATGTATGTCTTATAAAGATCTAACAAATACATCTAATTGGTGACCACACTATATACTTTATTTCATATCACAATATCAAAATATTATTACAAAATTTGAAAGGAAAAACTAATGATTTTTTTTACGCTTACTGATAAATACATGTACTTTGTGTGTTCATTGTGATATGACATGTTTCCGAAGGGAAATTGTTCGCCCCCGCCGCTATGCGCGGGTTCACAGCTAGTCTCTATAAATATCAAAATAAATAAATTGTCAAACTTGACAGATGTAAAAGAAATATAGAAATATAAGCCAATCATAGCAAACCTGACATCACTGGCGGGTAGCACGACAACACCTGCTTCATGTTCAGTAGAAAATTTTCGATTTTTTTTTTTTTTTTTTTTTTTTTTTCATTTTAAAATGTGCCACTAGCAATACGTTACTACGAACATACCAAATCCTAAGAACATACCGAATACTGCGTCGCCGCTCAGCATGTGTGACAACATCTATCAAATAACCCCCGTAAGGTGATAATAGATATTTATCACAAGTTTTATTTAAACTTGATTATCCTTTACAATTAAAAACCCTATATAATCTCCTGCTGCAATTTTCTTCTATCTCCGCTTTTCACTTCAACTTTCTCGGTCTCAATTCGTCTCTAAATCCGGTTTCCCGATGGCGACGCCGGGCGATGGAAGGGATCCCTACGAAAGTCGCGGAGACAGTGAAAAGTCTCGTAAGAGGCCTTTCCGGCCAGGTTCATAACTTTTGCTCTCAGTTGGATAAGTCTTAATTGGGTGTTGCCATATGAGGTTTTTTAGGGCCTATTTTTACTCCTTATGGCTGTCTTAGGATATCATAATTGGTGTGGTTTTGTTTTAGGTTTTTACTTTTTTCATTGGATGATTGCTGTACCGATTAATTTTTGTTCTCTGGCATGTAGAATGACATGCATTGTATGCAATTAGGATTTACCTTCGTCTTGGTTGATATCCGAGCTCTGTTGCTTATCTATTATTATATTGGAGGTTTATCTTTAGTCATGTATGTTTTCTACTTATGGTGACAGTGGAAGTTAAAAATTCCATTTTTTTGTAAATTTTTATTTTAAACATTTGAATTGTGCTAAACTATTTTAAATTTTTAATTTTGGTTTTTCAAGTCCCTGAAAGTAGGGACCGCACGTTCGAGGTGTGAAGTGGGAGAGAAGGGATGTCATAATTGGGGTTTTGAATAACACTGACCTTTTGATTTTATTTTGCATTTTTAATTTTGGCTTGTGCTTTTGAACATGTTGACATTGCTCAAACAAAAAGTTGTGAGCAATCCTTAAAAGAATTAAATTTGAAACATAATCATAGATGTCATGTGGTCAAACCATTCAATTGGACTACAACTAATATATAACTGTGTGGATCATTGTCTTTATACTAAGTTATGAATCTAAGCATCATCCAATTCTCTTTCCTATGTCTGCATCTCTAAATTTTTCTTCTTGTAATAAGAGCAATGGGTTAGTATTATCGTTCTAAATTTTCCTATCTTTCATTCTAGAACTTAAGATATTCATATAAGTAGCTTGTGTAGGGATACTTACTTGAATTTCTGCTTATAATGTACATGTCCCTTACAAAAGCTCTTATGTGAACAGCGATTAATGAAGAACCCCATAATGTTTCGTGGGAGGCCGGACAAAATGTAAGTCCCCTGTTGCCTTTTGCCTATATTATAATAAAAACTGAAGGCAAAATTATAATATTTTTTGGGTGTTTTTTATGGTATTTCTTCATGATTTGTGATGCTGGTTTGATCCTTAAATATTGTTTGTAATACCAAGCGGCATTCTCTTATGAGTTGAACATGGATGCCACTCGAAGTCATGAACAAAGGTAATCTATTATTTCTTGGGAGTTGCATGGCGAGTTGGAAGTGTTTTTATTATTGGAATTGCTCATAAAGTGAATAAGTGCTATATGAGTAAATTTTGACGATAATTGTGGAGATCATGAATTACTAAGCCTTGCAATGTTGTTCTCGATATGTACTTTGGGAGAAATTTTTTGAACAATTTACATCGTTGGAAAACAACTTATTTAAAAATTCTTCTTTGTTAATTTAGAAATAGTTCCAACTCCATACCTGAGAGTCACTAGATATAACTATTAAAGGTAGATGGGGCTTGGTATAAATGGATGTTGGTTCGTGGTAATCTTCACTTTATGAATTTATTTGTAATGTGTATTCTTATGTCGCTGTTGTCAATGCTTTATGTATCCATTTTGTCTGAAATCATTGTAACCTTAATGCACTTTTGTTTTCTTGGACTGAAGAAATCAACTCGGTTATCAGATGAAGGTGGGAATTCGGCTACAACAGGGGCATCAGAGCTTGAACAAATGTGGAAACCGAAAACCTTTACTAGGTTGGCCTTTCTCTAAGTACAATCATACATTGTTATTATCTATGCTCTATGTGGTGACTTTATTGATGTGTTATATACTTCTGCTACAAATCTGAAATACAAAACCCAGCGACTATGGAGAAACTCCCAAGTGATATTTTATTCAACATATTCATCCGCTTATTGGCGCGACAACTTGCTCAAATGAGGTGTATCTCCAAATCATGGAATTCCCTTTTATCTCAATCCTCCTTTATAAAATCCCACCTCCATCATTCCATCAATAACAACGATCGAATTCTCTTGGTCTTCTACAACAAGACCTCTCCTTCTGACCCTAAACCATTCACAGCACTCCAATGTCAATCTCCCCATCTTGAACTCACAAATTTCATCAAACTCCCACCGGTCAATCCAGAATCTGGACAGACTACTAACAGTAGCATAATCAAAGTTATTGGTTCTGTTCACGGCTTAATATGCTCTTGTTATGGTGATGATGTCATTCAGATCTGGAACCCTTCTCTCTCAGCCGTGTCAACTCTCCCGCCATATTCTATGTCCTCCTGCAGTGGTAAAGACATCTATTTTCGGTTTGGTTATGATCCCAAAACTGAGGATTACAAAGTTGTTAAGCTTCAAGGTCTTATCGGACCACCTTCAAGATTGTGTACTATATCATATGCTGTTAAAGAGATGCTGCAAGTTGAAGTTTATAGCATGAGAAAGGGTTCATGGAAGTTGATCACTCAAAGGTTTCCATCTCACGTCACTAAGATTTTTGAACCTGATTACCTTTGTGTGGATGGGCATGACGGCCTTCTTCATTGGCTTGGTTATAGTGATGAGGGGAACGCACACACGATAGTGGCATTTGACTTGAGTTTAGAGACATTTCGTGAGATACCTCTTCCAGATGTTAAAGTACTACTAGATAACAACCCCAAAACTTTTGGGATTTTGGGGTGGAAAGATTTGCGTTATGTTATGGTTTAGAGGTCAGGGTGGGTTAGAGGTGTGGGTGATGGATGAGTATGGGGTGGCTGAATCATGGGTGAAGTCCCATATCCGTTCACAGTGTATGACTGGTTTAGTTTTTGGATATACATCACACGATGAGATTTTTATTGTTAATGACAGCTCTCATCTTCTTTTGTACAATCCAGCTGCACAACAGGCTAATATCTTGAAGGAATGTTTTGATTGGGGTCACAGTGTAAATAAAATCATAAAGTATGTTGACAGCCTTGTTTGGGTAGGCACCTACGCCTGTTCGGTGAGCTGCTGCATTATTTGTCAATTTTAGTTTAAAAACGGTGAGCTGCTGCATTATTTGTCAATTTTAGTTTAGCATTCAACCGGTGTCTTTGAACCTTTTTGCTATTCATGGAGTCTTCTTATTTTTAGTTTCAAGTCTGATGAAAGAAATTGTTACTGTTTTTGGACTAGGCTAAAGTATAGATATCGATTTGGGTTTTATCATAAACACCTTATCTTTTAAAAACACCAAAGGTTTTGACATATTTTTTGATTTGTTTTACTGTTTGAAATTGGTAGTCTTTATCTTGTTACTTGTTGGATTACATGGCCTGAATTGCTGCTTATGCTTATTGTTATTCTACAATTTCAAAATTTTCATATTACTTGGATGCATTTGTTTACTGTTTTAGATTATCAAAGACAGGCTAAATCTCGTGTGTTGTACTAACCAGGTCCAACAAGTCATTTTTAAGAAAACAGGACAAACTAAATCTAGCTGTAAATGGTAAAAGAAACACTACTAAGCCACAAAATTGCATGACAAACTTCAAAAAGGTTGAAATATCTAAGTGGAACAAATGTAAAGTTTGGTATTATATATAATGATATCGATCCTTTGGATTTCCAGTAAGCTAGGAAAGGTGATCATACCAAAGATGTA